CTCAGTTCCTAATATAACGCCAGTATAAACCCTGGGCTGGGCTCATTATAAAGAACCTTACCCATGGGACCAGACAGTTATCTGGTGGGGAGGAGATTATACTGGATACTTTAGAACACTGAGGAGAAATCTATTCGTCTTCACCAGAACAGACACTTACTTTGGATTTTCATTCTCTTCTCCTAGCCACTGAGACAGAATTATCGATTACCCTACACCCCATCATAATATCCCATACAATGTTTCTGACTGAGGAACTCACTTTATAGAGAAAAAAGTAAGACAGTGGGCTGATGCCATGTTGCACTATTATGTCCCTCATCACCAGAAAGAGCTGGCTTTACAGATTACTGATCCAGAGTGGCAGCCGAAAGACAGTATCTTAGAAAGGTTGGGATGTTATGCTTTAAGCTAGTAATAACCAATGATGTTATTTCTCCCACTGTCAGAATACATAACTCCATGAACCAAGTAGTCAAGGTGTCTGAACACCCTTTGAAATCATAGCTAGTAAACCACTTGCAAAATTTTTGCTTCCCTTCCCTATAACTCTAGCTCTGCCAGTTTGGAGGCTTAATATCTGAGGCACTAACAATTTACTTGGAAGGTGAAACAGCTGCATGGCCATTTGAGGCTCTCATGATACAGGGTGCATAAACATAATGTGGTTACAGTGTAGTCTGGGTGGCCAATTCTGATGAAGAAATAGGGCTATGCAATAAGGGGAGAGAAAAATTTGGAGAGACTCCAGAGAAATTCTCACAGTACTGTACCCACTTGAAAAATTAAAAAATTAAAAAATTTTACAGCCCTACATATTAGGCATATGTAAAAATCCAATTTCCAATTTCTCAGCAATATGGGTTATGGTCACTCCAATGGATAAAGAATCTTGTTTAGCTTAGTGGCTAGTTAACAAAAAGTGTACGGGTGATGTATGGCACAGAAAATAAATTATCTATATCCGTTTGGCCCCTGATCAGTGCAGAAACTAATATTGTGACCTCTACCCTTGCATCCTTAGCCATCTCATATATGCACTAACATATTTTACCTAATTTTCTTTCTCTTTCCTCTCCCTATACTCTATTGTTGAATATAGCATTTGTTGGTTGTGGGTAACTTTATATTTTAGTCTGCTGGCTAGAGAATACTGATATAGGATTGCAAAAGAATCAAGGGTGACTAGAAATAAGCAAGAGATCTAGGATGAAGTGCTGAATGGAGTCGATGAAATTTTTAGTCAACTCCTCTTGGGGAGGGATGAGTGGATTTTGGTTATATGAGGGTGAGTTGCGTTGTTAGAAGAAAACTTGTTCATTTAATTAATTCATTAACTCATTCATTTATTTATATGGGGAAAAAGTGTATGGATGAGTTTGAGCAGGGAGAGAGCTATAGTGGACCTTTGCTGTTTATGGACAGCCAGTACTTGAATATCACCTTCTATGACAGAAGCCAAAGAGGGGAAGATATTCCCTTTTCCTGCTACACGCAAGAGACTAAAACTCAGGCATTCAGAACTTTCTGTCTTGACTTGATGCTTGAGAAAGTGATGCAAAATCCCAACAAGTTTGAGTTAATGGTGGAAGTGGTAGTTATCAAACTGAGAATCCAATGACATGGAAGCATACTCATATACCCACTTTTGAAACCACTGCAGGAATGCTTCCTAATGGTGAATACAGAAGGATATTTTTGGGTGGTTTCCTGATGCAGTATGATTTTACGTCAATGATATACTTGCAGGTGTCTTCCTGCTTCCTAATACTTTGAGACTATACTGGATTAAGATAGGGGAGTAACTCTTTTGCCTTTGCTAAGAAATAAAATAGAGCACACATATTCATCTTAGTCATATTTTCTTTCCATCCTCTTCTGAATCACCCTATCTTTCTTCTCCCCCACCTTCAAATATCTACAGACAGTTCCTGACTGTCATTCAGTTTCAGAATGATTTGGATGCTGCCCTATGCCAGAGACACCCTGCTCCACAGGTGCCAGGATAACTGCTGCTGTGCTTACCTGTTCTCCTTTGAATGCTCAAGTTGTCATCACTAGAGTACTAACCAATCACCCATGTCCTCCCATAGAAAACCAAGATGACACTGTACAAGGGGTAGCAACAGGGGTAGCCAATAAGTTTCCAGCCTAGAATGTTATGCCCTGCTCCACAGGTGCCAGGATAACTGCTGCTGTGCTTACCTGTTCTCCTTTGAATGCTCAAGTTGTCATCACTAGAGTACTAACCAATCACCCACGTCCTGCCATAGAAAACCAATATGACACTGTACAAGGGGTAGCAACAGGGGTAGCCAATAAGTTTCCAGCCTAGAATGTTATGGAAAGTAACCAATACAAAGATTATAATGTTAAGAAGTCTTCTTATTTTAAGTTAATTATTTACAGGTTCAATAACTGAAACACCTGCTTTAGACTAAGCTTAAGTATAATCACATTGAATTTACATAGCAACGGTTATAAACCCTCTGAAATTTTGATTTTAAAAGTAATTGCTTTTAGAGGAAGGAATAAAACAAAGCCTGGGATGCCTTATTCTTGAGATGCACTTAGTGAAACAAAACATCTAGAAATGACATAATTTCTAGCTGTCCAGAAAAACCATGCAAGTAAATTCTATGGTTTCCACTTAGCCTTGGTAATAATGTTTTGGTTTTTTTTTTGCTGATAAACAAAACAAAACAGAGAGGTATTTCTACACCATGGCTGAGCTATTCACGATTCCTTAGGCCTCATACATTAAAATTAAAAAAAAGAAAGAAGTGTACTGTAGCTGGGAAGAGCACATGAGGTTCACATTTGAAGTTAATGTGAGTCACATATGTACTAAATGCACAGGGTCTATATACTTTAAGCAAACATCCCAAAATGTGTTCAGTACATTGTACTGAAGGTTGTACTATGACTTCAAAGAAAAGTCTCCATTTGGAACACTTTTAGGAATAAGACACAAGAGAAATAAAATTAAGCCTAGATGGATGTTGCACATTAACCGAGTTGTCAATATTCCATATATCTATTTTTCAGTATTTGCCTCCTAAGTTATCATACTGTTTTAGAAACAACAGGGTGATAATTTAGGCATTTCGATTAAATAACAGAACAACAACAAAACTTTTGACAAAATTATTTTAACCTTAAATTAATATTTTGAATAAATATTTGGTACTCACATACAAGTAACATTAAGGAAGCAATAATGGGATTTTAAAGATAAAATAACAGCTTTCACTTTACTTCAAGCAGTCATTTGATACCCTTTATTTTAGCTAATTTTGGGGTCTGCTAGTGAATAAGGTGATATGTGGAACTAATAAGAACATTTTGAAGTATCAGTTAACTATTACATACTAATGTAATATATATGCTGCTGTCCAACGGGCCTACTAACCTTAGATGAGTTATGAGAAGTGGAGGGGAGAAATATGTAAACTATTAAGACTGGATACTAGTGGGTTTGGGACATTGTTTTTACCAATGCTGAACAACACTGTTCTTCAGGCTGGATGAGATCACAAGGTGGGGACACAGGGGAGGGAAGGGGGAGAGACGACAATGCAACAGTTATGTTAATGATTTCATCTATTTTCATCATAATTCCATTTAGGAAGATTTTTTTTTTAAACTGGAAAAGTATAAGAAAAGAAAATCATTATTATTAAATTGATGGAGGTGGAGAAGAACATCCACATTTAGAGGTAATAGAAGGAATCACAAAGGACCATATTAAGAGACTGTATCATATAAAATGCAGAATCTTCTTTCTATTTGCAAAAAAGATACCATGATAAAAAGACAAGCAATGAGCTAACAACCAATATAGCAGATAAAAGATTAATATATATGTATAGCAATATGTATATGTGGAGGAAAAGTGATATCATATAAAGCTTTATATATATGTATTGTATTTTAATTTGGTAAGGCTTTCACACATATCTATAAGGTAAATGCTGTACTGGAATAAATGACCAAAGGAAATGAAGAGACAACAAACAAAAAGAAGTCAACTAGTAAACACATACATAAAAAAAAGTTCAACCAAACAAAAATCAAGGCATATTATTAAAGTAACAATAGGATAACATTTTATCTATATCAATAAATTACAACAAATGAGGATGTAGTAAAACTGTTATTCTCATATACTACTACTAATTCATACATCAGTGGTGATGATATCAATTAGTATAGACCTTTTAATTAGCACTGTGCATGAAAAGCTGTGAAAATGTCACATTATTTAATCCACTAATTTTATTTTTAGAATTCTATACTGAGGAAATAATTCTAAATAAAGAAAAACCTATAATAAAAAAGATGCATGATTATTTAACTGTAGGAGAAAAACACTATGGAACAGCTACATAATAGAATATAATTACACAGACATAAAATTTAAAAAAATTTTAATGGTAGTTATTACTTAGCGAAAAGATAACAACAGGTTTTTAATTTTTACATACCTAGTGTTTTCAAAATTGAAAAAAAGTGAATTTTGCAAAATTGTATATTCCATGAGGACAAGGAACACTCAAAGATCATAAAAACTTAGTTGAATATTAAAATATACATGAGGGCTGGCTGGTTAGCTCTACTAGTTAGAGTGTGGTGTTAAAATGCCAAGGTCAAGGGTTCAGATCCCTGCCAACCACCAACCACTCCCCCCTAAAAAAGAAATTGTTGGTTTAATTTTTTAAAAAGTAAATAAAATTAAAGAGAAAAAATCATAAATATGGATATATAAAATAAATATTTAGTGGGAAGATACAGGAAGAAAATACACAAGAATATTAATAGTTTTGTGCGAAGGTGGCAGTATTATGCATTTTTCTTTCTTCTATTATTTTGTCCAAATTTCTATGTTATAACTTTACTATAGGATAAAACTAAACATAATTAAATGTTTAATTCCATTATAATGCAACACAAACTAATTTGACATGAATAAGAAGTAGAAGATAAAGTATGTTGCTTACCTCTCTTTCATCCATATTCAACCACTGCTTTGGATCTTCTTCAGTAGCTAAAAAGGCTATCAACTCCAAAGCAGTAAGACGAGTTTGACGTCTTGAAGAGACAAATATCAAAACAGGTTTGGCTGGAGAATGGCTTCTAATTGCTATTGAGAAGTTTTGAAAATGAAATGGTAAGCCACTTAACACCAGAATACGAATATCACTAAGATATCAAATGGATACAGAAAAACTAAATGTTGTAAATGACTTAGATAAATTCTTAATTTGGTCATGAAATTGGCATTATTCCAGGTACTGCCTGGATCTGACAGCATAACGCACAGATGATGGGAAGGGAGCAGGTTTTGGTCCCACATAGGGAGTATATTGCCTAGAACAGGGAAGATTTAATTATTTTGGCTCCAAGTTTATTCTAAGCTGCCAATGAAGGTGGAACTTAAAGGTTGAGACTTGCTATTTAGAGCTATACATCGACACTAAATCTTAGGTTGAGTTTTCTTTTCTTAAGGCGTGTTTCTGAGATATTTCTGCTTGCCTAAGCAGTGATATTACAGAGTTAACTGGTCCTGGGGTCTGGAGAAAGAGTCAAGTCCTGAAGGGTGACAAAAAATGTCTAAGAAAGATCACAAAACATTCCTTTTTATTTCTGCCCTATTATCAGCAGATGGAAAAATTACGAGAGTTTGTATCAATAAACAGGTAAGAGATGATCAAAACAATATTTTCCCAAAAACACATGCGTGAGATTTCAAGTGAAAAGATAAGAGAATGTAAAAGAGAACTGAAGAGAATATCATGCCTGCATGTGTATCTGCGTAATGGCACATGGTAGTCAATCCAGAGAAGATGAGATGAGTAGTTTGAAACCTGAGTAACAACACTGAAGAAAATTTTGCAAATTAAATCTTTAAAAAAGAATTTCTAAAAAAGCTATATAAATTATTTGGCCTAACTGGAAATGAGGTTTCTTTGCTATACACAGGCTCCAAAATGCTGATGAGATGGCACTAGTAGAATTTATATTTATGTCAATATAGCGCTCTTAAATCAGTCAGAGATATTTAAATATTTTATATAGAAAAGCTCAACCTCCTTGAAATTTCTTGTTTGAAATGTGAGCAGTAGATTTTATTTTTATGAGCTAAGAAGCAAAGCTTATAATGGAAATATTGACATGACCTTGACTATACTTATACCCTAACAGAGAGAAATACAGCTATCTCACAATCATATTTCTAAACTCAAAGAAATACAGTAATCACTACAGGTAAAATAAACAGTTTATAAGGATAGCTGCTGTGTTGATACCATATCTAAAAAAGTGTATTTATGTTATTTACTATTGATTTACATAACATAAAATGCTTCATTTCCATCAATGATATGCACTCAGCCATTCCTTAAATAGATATAAGCAATTTCAACAATGCATACCATGAAAACTAAACTCATTTTCTTATTTCTCACTCTTTCACCATTTATCTGAATATTACAGAATGTAAATGATAAAGCTTTGATAAATCATATAAGAGATACAATGTTTAAAATGCACATATTAGTACAATATTGGTATCATTTGTATACATAATCATGAATAGATATCTGTCTCGTTTTTAAACCTCAACATTTAATGGATTTTTGCTGCTGCAAGAACAGGTGTGGCTGAACAGCTCATGGCAGATTTATTGTTCATTAGTGATTTTGTACAATGCTTCTGTGGAGGTGTAAATAATCTGAACTGCCAAGATTGGTCTCTAGTTCACAATCAATACTTTGCTTCTGTCATAAGGCTAATTACAGCAGCTAAAAAGTCACCTCACAAATGTCACCTCACAATCAACAGCAGTTCACATTAGAGAATTTATTTTGGAGGTTATTTTTAATTGATATAATAAATATTCCTTATGCAGCCTAAACAAAACATGTTTCAATAAAATAGAAGTGTTATTCTTAAATCTTTCCTGTTTGTCTTACTTGTAAGAAAAGAAAAAATGAAAAACAAAACAAAACACAAAAACAGAAGCATTGTACAAAAGTAGTGAAATATCGAAGTGCCATGGTTTCTGGTTAAGAATTAATCTTAGTGATTTTTTTGACTTGAGTAAGAAAAGAAAAAATGAAAAACAAAACAAAACACAAAAACAGAAGCATTGTACAAAAGTATTGAAATATCGAAGTGCCATGGTTTCTGGTTAAGAATTAATCTTAGTGATTTTTTTGACTTGAGGTTTAATTTATAATTATTCAAGCTACTAACTACTATAAGAAAACGACTTAACAGATTAAAATTAAGAATGGTTTGATTACTTTTTAAAATTATATACTTTTATTCTTCTACAAAGACAACATCATTTATGAAATCTCTCTAATTTTCAATAGGTAATATAACATATATTTGTACTTCTTAACAGCTGAGGTAAATAGCATTAGATATTTGTAGAAGTTGGACCAGTATCACTCTTTCAAATATACACAAACCATTTAGGATACATTTGATAGTTATCATAAAAAATAGTTACTATTTCAATCCATGAATCTGAAGCTTACCCTGAAATGCAGGCTTATTCATACTAGCCATACGAGGACAGTAATGTTGACCTGGGAAGCCTTGAATGTGAACTTCCAGTGGAACTGGGCGCACTGATGGTCGAAAGTTAAACAAGCCCATCTAGAGGAAATATGATAGAGAAACCATTTTCAATTTTTATATTTAAGTTTATAATGTCATGATGCCTCCTTCATGTGACCACCTAAGCCATATTACTAAATGCCTGACCTATCAATCTTCAACATACCTGCTTAATATTGAGCCAGTCAGCAAGGTCTCTGGCATTAGCTAATGCAGTAGATAGTCCAACTATTCTAACAGGCTTTTCTGTGTGTGACGAGATGAAATTTGTTCGAGATACAATGACCTCTAGAACAGGGCCTCTTTCCTCCCCTAGGAAATAGAAATAATGAACATTAATCACTTAACAAGTCTGCATTGGCTTCTAAGTCAAAGTCTGCAGATTTCTTAAAAAAACTAAAAGTAGAATTACTATATAATCCAGCAATTCCACTTCTGCATATACATGCAAAGAAATTGAAATCAATATCCTAAAGGGATCTGCATTCCCACGTTCACTGCAGCATTATTCATAATAGCCAAGATATGAAATCAATCTAAGTGTCCACTAACAGATGAATGGATAAAGAAAATGTGGTGAGTGTGTGTACATACATATATATATATATATATATATATATATAATGTTGTAATGACTTAGATAAATTTATATATAATAATATATTTATATATAATAAATTTATATATATATAAATGTGGTGTGTGTATATATACATTGTGTGTGTGTATATACTGTATATACACACATACAATAAAACACTATTCTTTAAAAAGAAGAAAATTCTGTCATTTGCAACAACATGGATAAACCCAGAGGACATTATGCTAAAAGAAAGAAGCAAAGAAGAGAAAGACAAACTCTGCATGATCTCACTTATATGTGGAATCAAAGGAAAGCTGAAGTCATGGAAGAGGGGAATGGTGATTATCAGAGGCTGGAGAGGAGGGAGGGAATTGGGAGATGTTGTTGGTCAAAGGGTACAAAGTTTCAGTTACACAGGAGAAATATGCCTGTGAGACCTATTGTACAGCAGGGTTACTACAGATAATAACAATGTATCGTATATTTCAAAATTGCTAAGAGGGTAAATTTCTAATGTCTCACCGCAAAAAATTATAAGTGAGGTGATGGATATGTTAATTTGCTGGGTATCATCATTTTGCATTGTATACATTTATCAAAATATCACATTGTACCTCATAAACATACAATTATTATCTGTTAATTAAAAATAATATTAATAAAAATTAAACAAAAAAGAAAGGTGAAATTTGAAAATTGGATTTAGATACAGTGGTACCCACCAAGCAGATGGATTTCATCTATGATGAGAATAGTGACTTGTTGAACATAGTTCCTATTTTGCCAGCTTCTGCTGACTCCATCCCACTTTTCCGGTGTAGTGACAATAAGGTCAGCTTTGGCAATAGATTTCATATCAGGAGTCACATCCCCTGTTAGTTCAATAACCCTGGAGGGAAATAAAAATAATCCCTTTAACTTTTCAGGTAACATATAACATTAAAAAGGCAAAAATATATCCCTTTCAAAATAAAATTTTATAATGCTTAAAACTACTTTATCTTCCTTTGATTTCTGAAATTTTCTAAGTTGAGTCCAAAACATGTTTCTTAAGAATTCTAAGATCTCTTGCCATAAAATAAATGACATATAAATTCAAATCACTGACACACACACCTAACTTTTTTACAGGTATCCAAGGGTGCCAAACTTTACTTTGATTACATATACAGAATCTCTGCCCTATGTGATTTTATAAAGTTGAACTAATACCTCCTTCTCCATATGTTGGGAATAAATGTCTTTTTAATGAGGGAAAGTATTAACTTATTAAGACAAAGGGACAGATTCATCAAGAAAATGATTGTACATAAGCTTTATTTCTTTTCTTAGATTGGTATTTTCTATAGATATTATACACAAATTCAAATACATTTGGACATAAACAAGATAAAACAGGACAAACATGTGCCAACCCATTCTGAGCAGATCCCAGTCTCACAGTAAGAGAGAAAAGAAAAACCTATATAACTACAGAAAAGTTGGGTAAACACAGGAAAACCTGGAGACAAACGTCAAATTTTAGGTATTACTGAATAATTTCTTCATCTGTGTTAAGACTTAGAAAAGAAAAAAGGACAAGATTAGTTCCTCCAAGTATAATGTTCCCAATACATTTATATATTTTTATTCATTTTTAAGATTTTTTATATTTTATATAGTATTTTTAATATTTAATATATTCACATGGTTCAAAGAATATGTAGTGAATAGTCTCTGTAACATCTTTATCCTACAACCACCTTGTTCTCATTCTGAAACAATCACATATTCATATTCTTTATCATTTTTTGAAAACAAAAGATAAAATACTTAAAAAATTTTTTTACATTATCCCTGGAGATCATTCATTCAGTATATAAAGAGCTCATTCTTTTATACAATGATATATAATTTTGAATTGTGTGAATGTACCATAATTTACTCAGTGATGCTCTAATGGACAATCAGGTTATCTGCAATTTTTGATATTAAAAACAATATCGCAATGAATAACATTGTAATATAATAAATATTGATTTAAAAAACCATGTTGTGTTATTCGAAGAACTTGTATTTTTTTTTGTAAACAATCTACATACAAAATGCCTTCTAAGCAGTTTCTGGAAGGTACTCTAAATAATATGAAAGAAAAGTAAAGAGATATAACTTATTTTTCTTTTGTTTTAGAATAAAAATATTTCAGAAAAGTTATCTTGCCAAATAAAAGTACTCATATTAAGTAATTTAACGGATTTCACTTTTCAATAGGAAGATATTTCTTAAAACAATTCTTCAATAGGAATATTAATACCATTTTAATAGTGGTTATAATCTTTAAATAAAAATTTATGAAAATTATTGTTAAAGTATTCAACAGTTTTATTCAACTCTTATTTTTTGGTCCTTTTAGGCTACTCAAAGCATATCTTTTGAGTAAAAGTAAGAACTTACTTTTTACCAAGTTTTTCTTCTATTCTAACTTTCCAATCATCCATTCTTTCACGTACTAGGGCTTTAAGGGGTGCAATATATACTGCCTAAAAAGGGGAGGATAAGCAAAAAAGACTATCATGAAAATAGTAACAGCGTTTTCAAATAAAACTATCTCCATAAAATTTGTTAAAATGAGTGTTTTTAAAAATGTATCTTTTAATACTGAATACTTAACTTTTAAGATTTATACGAAAAAGTCATTAATGTAAACTACATTTATCCAAAAAAAGACAGAAATATAACACATGGTAAGCATTCTATCATAAAAAATACTGATATAGATAAATTTAAAATATTTTTTAAAAAGCACTGAAGGTATCTTCCTAGGGTATTTTATAATAAAATTATAACACTGGGCCGACCCCATGGCTCACTCGGGAGAGTGCAGCGCTGGGAGTGCAGTGGCGCTCCCGCCGCGGGTTCGGATCCTATACAGGGATGTCCGCTGCGCTCACTGGCTGAGCGCGGTGCCGGCGACACCAAGCCAGGGGTTGCGTTCCCGTTACCAGTCACAAAAAATAAAATAAAAAAATAAATAAATAAATAAACAAAAAAATAAAATTATAACACGATGTGAACAAAAAAAAAAAATTATGAGACAATACATTACATAGAGAAAATTAGGATTCTGAAGAATATAAAAATGTTTTTCCCAGTATCATGATCAAGATTTATCTGAGTTGTGTGTAACTCTTTTTATGAAAAAGTTATTACTTTTGAAGAAAATAAATAAACAAAAAAATAAAATTATAACACGATGTGAACAAATAAAAAAATTATGAGACAATACATTACATAGAGAAAATTAGGATTCTGAAGAATATAAAAATGTTTTTCCCAGTATTATGATCAAGATTTATCTGAGTTGTGTGTAACTCTTTTTATGAAAAAGTTATTACTTTTGAAGTTTTGAAATGAAATAAACCACTTGTTTAAATTTTAAGGCAGATTTTATGAAAGATGTCAGTTATACATTTTAGGTGTTCTACCTTTAAAGAAAAAAAACCAAAAAAACCAAAAAACCCAAAACTGGTCTTGAATAATCAAAACCTGTACAAAAATTATTCACTAAAAAAAATTCTTTCATTTATAAAATGTTTCAAATTTAGAGTAGAGAACTACTGTTGTATTAACATGTCTCTTTATGGATAAGTAAGCACACAATAGAGAGATTGAAAAATAGAAAAACTTAAAGTTAAGCAGGGAAGAAAAGCAACTAATTGGAAATCACTGAGAAAAGGAAGTTAAAACATTTCTGAAATCATAAATGATGAGGAAAATAGCACATAATTCCAATTGCAACATATTTAAAATACCTCTATCTTAAATGTGACGTACTTACACAATTTAAAAACAGGAAAACCTTATAGACTACATAAAAAAGTGGTTAGAATAAACAAATTCAATGAAGTTATAAGATACAAAATCAACATAAAAAAACAGTAGTGTTTTTATTCAACAATAGCAATTATCTGAAAAAGAAATAAAGAAAGCAATCCAATATTTATATACAAAATAAAAAAAATACTAGGATAAACTTAACCAAAGATCTCTTCAATGAAAACTATAAAACATTGATGAAAGAAATTGAAGACACAAATAAATGGAAAGATATTCTGTGTTCATGGATTGGAAAAATTAATATTGTTAAAATGCCAGATAACCTCAATGAAAACTATAAAACATTGATGAAAGAAATTGAAGACACAAATACATGGAAAGATATTCTGTGTTCATGGATTGGAAAAATTAATATTGTTAAAATGCCAGATAACCCAAAGCAATGTACAGATTCAATGCAATCCCTATCAAACTACCAATGACATTCTTCACAGAAATAGAAAAAAAAAATCTGAAAATTTCATGGAACCACAAAAGACACTGACTAGCCAACAGCCAAAGCAATCTTGAGCAAAAAGAGCAACACTACCTGACTTCAAACATACCACAAAGCTATAGTAAACATGGTACTGGTATAAAAACAGACAAATAGACCAATGAAACAGAGTAGAAAGCCCAGAAATAAATTCATGCATCCACACCCACCTGATATTTGACAAAGGTGCTAAGTACACACAATAGGAAAAGAAAGGCCTCTTCAATAAATGTGCTGGGAAAACTAGATATCCACATACAGGAGAATGAAACTAGATCCTTTTCTCTCACCATATATGAAAATCAACTCAGAATGAATTAAAGAGTTAAAGGTAAGACACAAAACTACAAATCTAGTAGAAGAACACATAACATTTGTCTAGGCAAGAATTTTTTGCATAAAACCTCAAAAGCACAGGCAACAAAAGCACATATAGACAAATGGGATTATATCAGACTAAAAAGCTTCTGCACAGCGAAGGAAACAATCAACAGAGCAAAGAGAACGTACAGAATGGGAGAGTATATTTACAAACTTATTTATCTAACGGGTGTAATATCCAAAATTTATAAGGAACTCAAACAATGCAACAACAAAAAACTCTTAAAAAATGGACAAAAGAAGTGAATAAACATTTCTCAAAAGAAGACAAAAAGATAGTCAACAGATTTATGAAAAAATGTCCAACATCACTAACCACCAGGGAAATGCAAAGCAAAACTGCAATGAGATATTATTACCTTGCACCAATCAGAATGGCTACTGTCAAAAAATCAAAAGATAATAAGTGTTGGTAAGGAAGTGGAGAAAAAGAAACCTTACAAACTGCTATTGGGAATGTAAATTAGTACAGCCATTATGGAAAACAGTATGGAGGTTCCACAAAAAATGAAAAATAGAACTACCATATGATCCAGCAACCCCACTATTGGGTATATAGCCAAAGTAAATGAAATCTGTATGCCAAAGAGATATCTGCACTCCTATGTTTATAGCAGCACTATTCATAATAGCCATGATTCCAATCAATCTGTATATCCATACATGGATAAAGAAAATGTGATGTATATATACACAATGGAATACTATTCAGCCATAAAAAAGTATGAAATGGTAACCTGGATAAACTTGGAGAACATTATGTTAAGTGAAATAAACCAGGCACAGAAAGACAAATGTGTGATCTCACTCATAATGGGGAATCTAAAAAATTGTTCTCACAGAAATAGAAAATAGATTGGTGATTACCAGAGGATAAAGAGAGAAGGGGAGAATGGGGCGATGGTGAGAGATTAGTCAACAGATACAAAGCTACAGTTAGATAGGAAGAATAGTTTTGATGTTCAATTGCATAGTTGTACAACTAGAGTTAATATTGTATTGTATATTTCAAAGTAGCAAGAAGAGAGGTTTTGAAATCTTTTCATCACAAAGAAATGATAAGTGTTAAAGATGATGAATATGTTAATTACCCTGATTTGATCATTACACAATGTATACATGTATTGAAATATCATGTTGTACCCCATAAATATGTACAATTTTTAAAAAAGGTAATTATGTGATGTGATGGATATGTTAACTAGCTTGACTGTAGTAATCATTTCACAATGTACATATATACCAAAACACCGCACTGTACACCTTAAATATATACATTTTTTATTAAAAACAAATAGAGTAATATTGGGAAAAAATTAAAAAAGACTATGTTTCAAGAAAGGTTAAAATCAATACTTATTTAACTTGCAATGTTATTTAACATTAATTAACAATATCATGGCCATTTGGAGATGTGAAATAAAAGCTACCTCTGTATTTCCTGTGTATAATCAAACTGTTTGTTAAAGTATTAGTATTTCCTTCATATTCAAAGGATTTTATTACGAATTATTACATAACTTATAAATATGGCTATGAATTAAGTATCTCATAATTAAGTATCTCTACAATTTATAGTAGATATCTTATAATGAGGAAAGGACATGTGAGTGCCACTATGTACATTAGAAATTCATCTGGTGAACTACAAAGTTTAAGATAAAATTTCTTGCAGCAATTATTCTAATACTGATCTGGTCCCATGGAAAATTCATTGAGAGAGTGACAAACCTACTCACTGGGTCCTTGCAGTATATTTAGAGCTGGCTAGTTTAGAGGTTATGAACTGCCTTTTGTAATTGATAATAAGCATATGATTCTGACAACAGACCTTCGAAGTGGGGTACTTGTTGAAGACTCTGAAAATGGCTAATTCAGCTGCAACAGTCTTTCCCGATCCAGTGGGTGCTCCAAGTAGGACATTACAGTCTGTGTGATACAGTGTATGAAATATTTGTGTCTGCACAGGGTTAAAGTGGCTGAAGTTGTACAAGGCTTCATATGCTTTACATCCCAAAGCTGTGATTGGTAAAGGCTGAAGATCCAGTAATTCTGAAAAGATCCAACAGGTACTGCTATGAAATAACTGAAAAACATGCACAATACTGAATTCTGTATTTTAAAGAATTATATCAATCCTTAATTCTTTAGGGGGGAAAATATTAACATAAATTCTTATATACCAGATACAAATTTCTTTTTCCCTGGTCACCACATTAATCATATTGACATATTAGACAATATTCTGGGGGAGTTCCCTGTAAGCCAACTATAATGCTATATCTTTCCCTTCCAGTCAAGAGGAAAGTAACTTGAAAAAGTGCACAAAAGTATGAATGTTATAGAACAAAACTAAATTTACCCCAATTTCTAAAGAAAATAAAAAGTATTTGAAAACTTCGGTTCTGGAATGGTTACTAACAAAAATTACTTTTGATCTGTAAGATACTGACCAAGCTGGAGTAGTTGAGTGAGCTGTTGATACAGCTAATTAAAACTAAAATAAATTTAGGATAATCCCACTAAGAAATTTGGGTGGGAGTTTTAAAGCAGAGAATGTCTAGGTAAACAAAAACTGCCCTGAGAAAACTTTGAAAGAAACTAGATTTAGTTGTTTCTCATTATATGGACTGGAGGCATAGGAGATAGGAAAATTAAAATGATTTAGAGAAATAGTTATATATGCCCTTGAGTATCTGACAGAACTTGTATTTTCCCAAAATCCAGAATATTAGTTAGAAAACCAGAAAGCAGCTTTATTTTCAAAATTACTTCATGGAAAATGACTCTACTCATTTGAAATTTAAATGAGAAGAAAAAAAAATCATTAAGGGGACATAGTGGTCTGTACCTGAGTCAGATCTTCACAATACAGTTTCAAAATGAAAAGTATGGCAAATTTTCTTCTCAAAAAATGTCCTTAAAAGTCAAAAAAACTTTAAGAATTCTTTTTATTATCCTTGAACCACTGCTCTACTCTATTATATAGGTCACTGACAGCTAACTTTATGCTTTCTATGCCAGAGTATAATCTTGGAAATTTTCTGTAGCACTGAACATTAAGAAGTGAGGAGCAGAGGCACTGCAAGTTAAGGCCTGAAGTGCTAATCAAAGCACAGACATATTCATAATAAGACTAAAAAGTTGTGTAAGTTTATTGACAATGTTAAATTAAGATACTTTATTTCAGTGAAAGATGAAGATATTTCTTGGCTGATTTGGGCTCAATGGTATGCTTAAGTCAAAAAGACCCTGGGAATCATTGAGGTTAGTTGTGCATTTCTAATATCAATTAAAATATCATGGTGGAACATTTATGGCTTTTAAAAATGTAGTCAGAAGTCAGCTAATTATATTAATAGGGTGATACATGTTTGGACACTTAGCATAGATGTGATGAAATGAGCGTTAAAATATAATGCCAATGCATGTTAAAATCAAGTGCTGTAGTCAAAGAAACCTAGTAATGATGTTGGAAGCATGCATTTTAAATTAAAGCAGTAAACATTTCATATGTTTTATTACAATATTCTAAATATCACATATAAGCACATTTGATAAAAGACCAGAAAGATCCTTTTCAACGAGTAGATCACTAGATAATACAATTTCATTTTTTTCTATGTTGACAACCCTTTTAGTTCTGCTCTGCCAAGATATCAAAGTGGAATTAGGCTGTAATATAAAGAATCGCTCTTTAAGATAAGCTAAGATAATGAACAAGGTACACATTTGACAAAAATGGCAAAGTTTAAAGTCAGATTAAGGCTTCCTTTCATTTCCCAAAGGACTGCCAGATACGGTTTTCATTAAAAATAGTGAGAACTAACATTTTTATTTTGAAAAAGAGTTTGTCTCTTGAAGATTTATATGGAAAAGGAAAATTGACTTTTTTAAATAAAGTAAATTAAGGCTTTCTTCAAATTAATATAGTACTCATTAATTATGAATTCTCAAAGAGAAGAAATAAACAATATACTAATTAATGGATTAGTTTCAGGGTATTTCTGAAATAGAATATTTTATATGGCACTTAAAAGTATCATTGAAAACATCTATTTATGAAATTTTGCTTTATACCAAGTCAAAATAGAAAGGCATTTACTTATAAAAATCTAAAATGAGTTTTTGCAAGTTACAACAATGAAAAACACCATCATGTGATATGCAGATTAACACACACCTCTTTATAATATTAATGTGAAGAGACAGAACTAATATAAAGGATACATGTTATTTGTAGGACACAAACTCACTCAAGGTATAAGTAAATCCATTTTGTAATGATATATAACATGACTCCTTAGTATTAGCATGTTTTTGATGTAGAACCACATCATATGGGAAAAAAAATCCAACAAGTCACTACTATGTTAATTAATTCAACACACTATAAATAAGTTTAAATAAATTGGAATAAATGTTAGGAAAAAAGGATATCTCAAAAGTTTTACAGAGAGCACAGATTAAATGATAAATGACACAATGAAAACAGAAGGCGATATGGAGAAGTTATAATGATTATATGCAAAAATAGAGATTAAGGCATAGTAATACAGAAATGGTGAGCCTCAGTTTAGTTAGAACTAGTAGAATTGGACTAGGCTTAGTTTAACGATTTTGAAGCTCAAATAAACAAAAATTAAGGCTCACTGCTAAGCTCTACAAAATGTATACATACATAGATGTGATTTTGAGAAGTATCTTTTTAAACTATATTGACAAATAAGACAGATTTTGATTCAGATTGAAACAAATCATTGTAACAATCATTGATACTTTTTGACATTAATTAAACAACAATTTTGGGAAATCGGTCATTCAAATTAGCATTCAACATGTTACCTGTATGGGGAGGATGTCTCTCTGGTAGAATCAGATGTTGAAAGTTGATGATACATACAGCCTCAGCTCCTAGCCATCTATCAGACACTGCTCGGATGTAGTATTGGGAAGGCAAAGGCTCAAAAATAGGGATTGTAAACACCAGTAGTTGCGCTTCTTTACTAATGACCTAATACGAAATGAAGTCTAAAATAAATATGAATATTCTAATATTATAAAGGTCTTAATATTCTATTGGTAGGACAATGATACCTTGAAAGATATCCTAAAATAAAGTACCTCGGATTTCTAAATAGCTGAGATATTCAGGTACTTCAGATACTTGTGGTCGGTTCTCTTCTGAAGATTTTTGATACAACAGAAGGTAAAATTTATACTCAATTTATATTATTTACATATGCATATCATGATTATCAATAGGTTACCAATTTGAATCATTATCAGAACTACCTGAATATCATTCATTCAGTTACTTAACTTTGTCATTTTTACCATATCCAATCACCATATTATTAACTTAATACTTTTCTGTAAGTCCTTTTAGTACCTTAAGTGGAAATATCAGAATCAGCTGGCATAAATAGAAGGTAACTATGAAGACAAATGGAATGAAAAAATGTTGTTATAAAATTCTACTGCTGCCCACTCAAGACTTTCTGTCTGAAGCTTGCTTTCTCTTTGATAACAACAGGAATTACAAATGAGGCATCAGGAAATAAATAGCATCAAAGTGAGTCTTTTTTTGTGTGATTTATAGAGAATTGTAAAAGAAATACTTTACTAGGTGATTCAATATGCTTTAGTACTGTGTATATGTAACACCTAAAATTATTATTTATCCCACATATTGTACATATTCCACACCTCTGGAAGCCATGCCCTAAACCATAAGAAAGATTGTAACTGAATTTCTCAAACTATGATTGTACTGGATATATCAATACTGTAACATTTAATCACTGTTCTTTTAAAACCAAACAGAAATATAAAACGTAAATAAGGCTTTAGTGGTATTATTAAATTACAGAGAAATAATGTGTAAACAAAAATTGTTAGTTTATATTTTCTTTTTATGATAGCAAAATAATAAGGATACATCCATACATACATATTTACCTGTTTTTTTAGAGTTAGAAAATACTCTGAATGATAAATATGATCATTTGTAGGATCTTCTACCCAAATCCACCAGGGTTCTCCCACTGTCCCATGAACCTAGAAGAAAAATAGTATCCTAATACTATGTATATCATATCTCAAGTAAGGGATAGTGTTGTTCACATACCCAACTTCCATTCCCCTGTCTGTAACAGCTTTATTAATACATAATTTACATAACAAAGTTTACTCATTTAAAGCATAATGTTTAATAGTTTTAATATATTTTGGAAAGTTATGTAACCATCACCATAATCTAATTTTAGAACATTTTGATGACCCCCAAAAGAAACCTTGTACCCATTAGCAGTCACTACCTGTTCCCTATAGATTTGCCTATTCTGTATATTTCATGTAAAAGGAATCATATAATACATGGTCTGTTTTTTCCTCCCCCCCCCCAGGTAACAGGTGATTAAGAGACATTTACTGCATGCATTTTTCTTTAAATGTTTCATTTAGATGCTTATATAAGTCAGTAATGATCTGAAGTTTTCATAATCATTTGTGTTAATGTCATTATCCTATATAGACCTTTTTTATTAATTTGTTTTTAATTTATTTTTTTTACTTTAACTTCTCAATATACATTGTAGTTGATTTTCATGACACTTTACCCCTCCCTCTCTCCCCTCCCCCCCCACATCATATCTGTTCACTTGTCTTAAAAAGTTCAAGGAATTGTTGTGACTGTTGTGTCCTCTTCCCCCCCATCCTTTATTTGTTTTTGTGTTTATTTTTAGCCCCCACAAATAAGAGAACATGTGGTATTTCTTTCTTTGCCTGACTTGTTTCACTTAATATAATTTTCTCTAAGTCCATCCATGTTGTTGGAAATGGTAGTATTTCATTCTTTTTTACAGCAGAGTAGAATTCTATTGTATAGATATACCATAGTTTCCATATCCACTCAGCTGATGATGGACATTAGAGCTGGTTCCAACTCTTGGCTATTGTAAATAGTGTTGCAATAAGCACTGTAGTACAGGTATCCCTTCAGCATGATGATTTCTATTCATCTGGATATATTCCCAGCAGTGGAGTAGCTGGGTCATATGGTAGATCTGTAATTGTTTGAGGAACCTCCATACCATTTTCCATAAAGGCTGCACCATTTTGCAGTCCCACCAACAGTGTATGAGTTCCTTTTCCTCTGCAACCTCCCCAGCACTTATCAATTCTCAGTCTTTTGGATATTACCTATCCTGACTGGAGTGAGATGGTATCTCAAAGTGGTCTTGATTTGCATTTCCCAGATGTTGAGTGATGTTGAGATTTTTTTCATGTGTATGTTGGCCATTCGTACATCTTCCTTTGAGAAATGCGTATTCAGCTCCTTTGCTCATTTTTTAATTTGGTTATTTGTTTTTTTGCTGTAAAGTTGTTTGAATTCCTTGTATATTCTGGATATTAATCCTTTGTCAGATGTATATTTTGCAAATATTTTCTCCCACTTGGTTGTCTCTTCGATCTGTTGTTTCTTTTGCTGTACAGAAGCTCTTTAGTTTGATAAAATCCCATTTGTTTATTTTTCCTTTAGTTGCCTGTGCTTTTGGGGTCCTATTCATGAAGTCTGTATCCACTCCTACTTCCTGAAGTGTTTCCCCTATGTTTTCTTTAAGGAGTTTTATTCTTTCAGAGTGTATATTTAATAATTTAATCCATTTTGAGTTGACTTTGGTATATGGTGAGAGGTATGGGTCTAGTTTCATTCTCTACATATGAATATCCAGTTTCCCAGCACCATTTGTTGAAGAGGCAGTCTCTTCTCCAGCATGTAGACTTGGTGCCTTTGTCAAAGATCAGATGGCTGTAGGTGTATGGGTTGATTTCTGGGTCTCATTCTATTCCAATGATCCTTGTGTCTGTTTTAGTGCCAGTACCATGCTGTTTTGGTTATTATAGCTTTGTAATGTAGTGTAAAGTCGGGTAGTATTATGCCTCCAGCTTCATTTTTTTTTTCCTCAGGATTGCTTTAGCTATGTGTGGCCTTTTGTTATTCCATATAAATGTCTGGATAGTTTTTTCCACTTATGATAAAAATGTCATTGGAATGTTGATGGAGATTGCATTGAATCTGTAGATCACTGCAGGTAATATGGACATTTCCACAATGTTAATTCTTCCAATCCAAGAGCATGGGATATCTTTCCATCTTCTTGTGTCCTCTTCAATTTCTCTCAACAGTGGTTTGTAGTTCTCTTCATAGAGATTTTTCACATCCTTGGTTAACTTTAGTCCTAAGTATTTCATTTATTTGGTGGCTACTATAAATGGGCTAGCTTTCTTGATTTCTTTTTCTGCATGTTCACTATTGGAGAAAAGAAATGCTACTGATTTTTGTGTGTTGATTTTGTATCCTGCAACTTTGCTGAAATGATTTATCAACTCCAAGAGTTTTTTTTGTAGAGGCTTTAGGCTGTTCAATATATAGGATCATATCATCTGCAAACAGGGACAGTTTGACTTCATCTTTTCCAATCTGTATGCCTTTTATTTCCTTCTCTTCTCTGATTGTTCTGGTTAGTACTTCCAACGTGAGGTTATACCTAACTTGTAGAGAGTCTTTATCATGAAAGAATGTTGAATTTGGTCAAATGCTTTTTCAGCATCTACAGAGATGATCATATGGTTTTTGTCTTTGCTTTTATTGATGTGGTGTATCACATTTATTGATTTGCGTATGTTGTACCAACCTTGCATCCCTAGGATGAATACCACTTGATCATGGCATATAATTTTGTGTATGTGTTGCTATATTCTGTTAGCTAGTATTTTATTGAGGGTTTTTGCATTTATATTCATCAAGGATATTGGCCTGCAGTTTTCTATTTTTCATGTCTCTTTGTCTGGTTTTGGTATCAGGGTGATGTTCGCCTCACAGAATGAGGTCAGGAGAATGGCCTCTGTTTCAATCTTTTGGGATACTTTGTAGAAAATTGGTATCAATTCCTCTTTGAAGGTTTGGTAGAACTCTGCAGTGAACCTGTCCGGTCCTGGGCTTTTCTTTGTTGGGAGCTTTCTGATAACAGCTTCAATCTCTTTTATTGTTACTCGTCTGTTCAGATTTTCTATATCTTCTTGGCTCAGTTTTGGTAGTTTGTATGTGTCCAGAAATTTATCCATTTCCTCCAGATTTTCAAATTTGTTGGCACATAGTTGTTTATAGTAGTCTCTAATGATTCCTTGTATTTCTGAGGTGTCAATCGTAATATCACCTTTTTCATTTCTTATTTTTATTTGGGTCTTCTCTCTTCTTTTTTTAGTTAGCCTTGCTAAATGTTTGTTGATTTTATTTATCTTTTCAAAAAACCAACTTTTTGTTTCATTGATCTTTTGTATTGTTTTTTTGGGTTTTTCATTTAGTTCTGCTCTGATAATTATTTCTTTCTGTCTAACTTTGGATTTGGATTGTTCTACTTTTTCTAATCTTTAAGGTGAAGTGTTAGGTTGTTTATCTGCCATCTTTCCATTCTTCTGAAGTAAGCATTTAATGCGATAAATTTCCTCCTTAGTACTGCTTTTGAAGTATCCCACTGGTGTTGGTACAATATGTCATTATTTTCATTAGTTTCAAGAAATTTTTTGATTTCCTGTTCAATTTCTTCTTGGACCCATATGTCATTAAGAAGAATGTTGTTTAATTTCCATGTGTTTGTATAGTTTCAGAGTTTCATTTGTTATTGATTTCTAATTTTAATCCATTGAGGTCTGAAAAAATACATGGAATAATTCCCCCTTTTTTGAATTTGTTGAGACTTGCTTCGTGACCTAACATGTGGTCTATCCTGGAGAATCTTCTATGTGCTGATTAGAAGAATGAATATTCTGAGGTTGTTGGATGGAATGGTCTGTAGATATCTGCCAAGTTCAATTGGTCTAAAGTGTTGTTTAGATCTTGTGTTTCTCTATTGATTTTTTGCCTAGATAATATGTCCAATGTTGAGAGTGGGGTGTTCAGGTCCTCCAATATTATGGTGTTAGTGTCTATCTCATTCTTTAGATCTAATAGTGTTTGCTTTATAAATCTGGTTGCTCTGACATTGGGTGCGTATATATTTATGATCGTTATGTCTTCTTGATGGATAGATCCTTTTATCATTATGTAGTGGCTTTCTTTATCTCTTTTTATGGATTTGCTTTGAAGTCTATTTTATCTGATATCAGAATAGCTACTCCAGCTCGTTTTTCATTTCTATTTGCATGATATACCTTTTCCCATCCTTTCATTCTTAGTTTATGTGTGTCTTTACAGGTCAGGTGAGTGTCTTAAGACAGCATATTGTTGGGTCCATCTTTTTAGTCCAGTCAGTCAGTCTGTGTCTTTTGAGTGGGGAATTTAATCCCTTTACATTCAGAGTTATTATTGAAAGGTGTTGATTTACTCCTAGCATTTGACTGATTTTTGTTTAGGTGTTCTAAGTCCCTTTTGTTCCCTTCTTTCTAATTTTCTGTTTGTCTTCTGCATTTGTTGGTTTCTTGGGGGGGGTTGATAAACTATTTTTTTTCTTTATTGTTAGCATTTTTGTTTTGCTGGTAGGTTTTGTTTTTTCTTCAGTATTCATTGCAATGATGGTTGTTTTTGAGGTATCAAACACAGTACTTCCTTGAGAAATTCTTTTAAGGCTGGTTGTGTGGTAGTGAGCTCCTGCAGTTGTTTGTTTGTTTGTCTGAGAAATATACTATTTGTCCTTCATTTCAGAAGGATAGCCTTGCTGGGTAAAGTATTCTTGGCTGGCAATTTTTGTCCTTTAGTGTTTTGAATATATCGTCCCATTCTTTTCTGGCTTTAAGGGTTTCTGATGAAAAGTCTGATGTTATTCTGATTGCGGCTCCCTTGTAGGTGACTTGACACTTCTCTCTTGCAGCTTTTAAGATTCTCTTTGTCTTTGTGTTTTGCCAGTTTGACTATCACATGTCTTGGAGAGGACCTTTTTGGGTTTAATATGTTTGGGGATCTTTAGGCCTCCTGAATCTGAAGATCTCTGACTTTCCCTATACCTGGGAAGTTTTCTGCTATTATTTCATTGAATATGTTTTCAATGCCATTTCCTTTTTCTTCCCCTTCTGGAATATCCACAACTCTGATATTTGAACACTTAAGGTTGTCTGTTATATCTCTTAGATTTTCTTCAATTTTTTAATTCTTTTTTTGTTTTTTCTGGTCTGCCTGTGTTAATTCAAACAGCCTGTCTTTAAGGTCAGAAATTCTCTCTTCTACTTCTTCTAACCTGCTGGTTAGACTCTCTGTTGTGTTTTTTAATTTTGTTGAATGAATCCTTCAGCTGCACAAGCACTGCTACACTCTTTTTTCAAGGCATTGATTTCTTTGTACATTTCTTCTTCCAGTTCCTGTACAATTTTTCTCACTTCACTGTGTTGTCTAACTGAGTTTTCTTGTATCTCATTTAGTTTCCTTAGAATTGTTGCTCTAAATTCCTTGCCAGTCATTTCAAAGACTTCCTGTTCTATAGGATCTAGTGCTTAAGAGTTATTATTTTCCTTTGTTGGTGATGTACTTTCTTGATTTTTCATATTTCTGGTATCTTTCCTTTGGTCTTTTGTCATTGTGGCAGGGGGTATCACAGTCCACTCATTTCACCCTGATGTCTGGCTTGGATACTGAAGGGACTATCAATTCTGGGCAGCCAGAACTAGCCTGGGCTGGGGGCTCCCATGGCACCTTCCTGTTTTGGCATAGCTGACTTGGGGCGTCTGGGTCCAGTGGCTCTCAGACCTCTCTGGGTAGCAGGGACTGACCTGTACAGGGGGTCCCATAGTGCCTGCCTATTCTAGCACAGCTGATTTGGGGCATGTGGGTCTGGCAGTTCTCAGGCCTCTCTGCATGGCGGGGACTGGACTGAGCTGGGGGTCTCATATCACCTGCTTCTTCTGACGCTGCTGACTTGGGGCATGTGGATCCAACAGCTCTTGGGCCTCTCTGTGCAGTGGAGACTGGTCTGAACTGGGGGTCCTGTGGTGCCTGCCCCTTCCGGCACAGCTGACTTGGGGTGTGTAAGCCTGGTGGCTCTCATACCTCTCTAAGCAGGGGGGACTGACCTGGGCTGGAGGTCTTGCAGCACCTGTCTTTTCTGATTTGACTGACTCAGGGCATGTGGGCCTGGCAGCTCTTACGTCTCTCTAAGTGGCGGGGACTGACCTGGGCTGGAGGTCCCGTGGCACCTGCCTTTTCTGGCACAGCTGTCTTGGGACAGAGGCCTTCGGGCTTTCTAAGCAGTGGGGACCGACCTGGGCTGGAGGTCCCATGGCACCTGCCTTTTCTGGCACGACTAACATGTGGTTCTTTTTTAACTGGCTTCTTTCCCTTATCATAATGGTCTCATGGTTCATCCAAATTTTAGCATATATCAGCATTTCACTCCTTTTTACTGTCAAATAATATCCCACTGGATAGATATTCTCTCTCTCTCTTTCTCTCTCTCCTGTTCCTTACAAAGCCCAGTCTTGTTCAGTATTCATTTCTCCCTCATGCACCTCAAGAGAAGATGACCATATCCCCTGGAATAATTCTGACTTGCATAAGTCAATCAGCTCATGGCATTCCCCTGACAACAGCTGTGGTAAGGGAGAGGCATGTAACAAATACTGGCCCAACTAGATTGAAAAAAAGGTCTTGCAGTCCATGACCTGAGATAGAGGAGTGGGGATGTGTTTCCCTTGATCTGTTAAATGTGAAAAAGGAAGCGTAAAAGTATTTGGAAAGTTTTACCTAACACTGTCAGCAGAGAAAAAGAAATGGAAAGATCCTGGGCCTTGAATGATATCATTCAACAGAAGACAACCATCCTTATGGCCTATTCTACCAGTGGACCTTTTATAGTGCAAGATAATATATATTTTTTTTGTTCAAGTCAGTTTGAGGCAAGTCAAGTTTTCCATTCTTGAAGCCATCAGCATTCTGCCTGACAGTTAACTATAACAATAATGAAGTCCTCTATCTTACTAATGAATCAAACCAAAATGGTGGAGATTTACTATGGATATTGAAGGAAAAATGTAGTATGAAAAAAACATAAAACTTTCATTCATTTCAAAAAAAGTCTATTAAATATAAAATTCTAAATATGAATTTATGGGTAAATCTAATTTTATATTTTAAGTAAAATATGCGTAATAATTTTATATCATCTAGTTCTCACAGAAACTCTGAAAGATTGTTATAAATGTTCAAAGATGAGGAAACTGAAGGAATTAAAGGTTCAAACACTTTAAGACCAATGTATAACTGGGTTAGGACCATGATTGGGTAGCTGAAGGAAATTCATTCACATTAAAGATGTATTAACGTCAGGTAATGTAGAAGGTATCCACATTTAACTAGTACTTTATATCCATGTGAAGTAGGCATCGCTATACTACAATTAATCGTTAACTTGTCTTCCTCTACTGGCTTTTTGAAAGCAAGAACTGAGTTTTACTTGCCTTTGTATCTATAATCTCTCACACAGTAACTGGTACAAAGACGGAACTTAAAAAATGCTGACCTCATAAGAAGAGGATCTAGAGTAGATCTTCACATTTATGTAATGGCATTTAAGGTATTGAAAGAGGAAAAGAAGAAGGAACAAAAACAGAAACAGAAACAGAAATGTGATGGGAAGCAAGGAAGAACATTTTGAAGGGGAACTATGTACAGTGCTAAATGTTCAGAAAAGTAACAAAATTAACTAAGAAAAATATATTTATTACGGCAGTCAGTCAGTCTTTGAAGAACACTGAGGAAGTAGACTCAGCCGGAAAGAAACAGGTGACCAGGAGAAAAATGCAGAACACTTTTTCTGCGTGTCTAATGTTTAAGAAAAGGAGGCAACGGTATTTGAGAGACATCAAGATTTAAAAACGACTCTTTTAGCACAGAGAATCTTGAATTTTTGTTAAGTTAAAATGACAGAGTAAGTAGAGATGGCAAAATTAAAGATAACAGAGAAAATGAAAGAAGACAGAACTAAAATGGCAAAGTCCCTGTGGAGTTGAATCCGCTACACTATTGTTCAATGGTGAAATTTTAGGTTTCCCAGATGCCTGAAGGGTTCTCATTGTTAACATATTATTTATATACCATATTTTTCTTGGGGATGAGAGTAAATATAACTATAATGCTTTTAGTGAATCTTCAATAAATATTCTTTTTTAGAGGATTTTCTACATGGCTTGGGGACAAATGTAAAGAGGTGTAGTTAAACCTGTAGTACAGACATTTTTGTAGAACATAAATATAACTTTTCCCCCTTCTACCTGATCATTCCAAGTGAAATCAGGATAGATGCTGAGTGTCACTCGAAGAACAGTCCGTGTGATGGGCTGAATGGATGCTTCCATCATAACAGAAGGAATCTGATGAACACATTGTTTGACCTTCAGTCCGATATTCACATGATGCAAAATGTGACCTGCAAGAAAAACATCACACAGAAGAAATGTGTCCAGATAGAAAAGAGCAATATAATCTGACTTGTAAATGGGATTTCAGAGAAAGTGATTTTATTGCTTGTTTTATAATTTGCTATGTAGAATAGCTGACATTCTTGACCTGGCATGTTTGAATATTTTGTAATAGTTAACTTGAATTAGCAATTCATGGCTCTGAAAACCAGTATCAAGGTTTCTTTAGCTATTAATAGGTTCTTAAAATTACTGAGACTTTATAGTGTTTAAACTACTTTAACAAGACACTTCTCTCCGAGTTAGTTTATGACATGTATAGAAATATTTAGTATTTTTTTAAAAATAGCTATTAATTTATTCAGGCTATATTTCAGAACTCTATAACTATGATGGGAAATTCTTCAGTAATCAAATGCAACTCACCCATCCACACCTATTTCCAGAAAACATAAAGATAAAATATAAAATAGTCAATCAAATACAAAATTACCATTTACACATACTTTTATAAATAATTAGATTCTGGCATACAGATATATGTGTGGGAGTGTCAAGAGCAGGTGTCAGAAAACAAAAGTGACTAACTATAAACATTCTTCTAGTCTGAGCAACTAAGTGGAAATAGATTATATTTTATAACATCAACATCTCCTTTGTTCTTCAAAACATAATTTTTTAAAAATCACACTTACTAATAAACCAAAATGTATTACGCTTACTCAAATTTTAAACTAAAACTAATCTTCCTTATTTTGACAAAATATTTACACGTTAACCCAATGTAAGTACCCTCAACTTCCCTTGTTAATAATCTCAATTTCTCTCTATTGAAACTTCCCTTCTCCATTCTATCTTAGAAGTATTCCTCTTCCTGTACAAGTGTAATAACTATCTCAGCCTCTCTTCACATCTTTGTACCTCTTGCCAGCAATAATCCTCTCTTATTTCTCTTTAGCCTGACTTTTTTCCTGTGTGATGTCTATACTATTCAGAATTGAAATAGCACCTAATCGGTGCATTATATATTTGTCCAATACAATGTTAGCATACATAAAAATGTATATAGGAATAACTTTTTAATATTATGTGAAAAAAGCAAATTCTATGTATATACTGATACCAACTAGGTTCAAAGATGCATATCATGTAGTGAAACTTATTTAGAAACTCTGGAGAAATGTAGAGCTTAATGTTCACATAATTTTTTGCTGCCATACTGCTGATATACATAACAAAAGATTTTTTTTTCCCCCCTTTTTTGTCTTTTTTCGTGACCGGTAATGGGATCGCAACCCTCGGTGTCGCGCCCATACCACGACCGGCAATGGGATCGCAACCCTCAGTGTCACGCCCGCACCGTGCTCAACCAGTGAGCGGACCGGTCTCTATATGGGATCCGAACCCTCGGTGGGAGCACCGCACTCTACTGAGTGTGCCACCGGGCCGCCCATAACAAAAGATTTTGAAATAAATTTAACATTAAGAAGTAAATTGAAAATAAGCATCGTTGAATGATTCTCATCATTTATACCTATGATTCTGTGCATTAAATATTTAAGGGGCTGACAATATAAACTTCAGCTTAATTGCTAATTCTGACAAGTAACTTCATAAAATTTAGAGTGATTTTTGTTTTAGTTCCCATAAATGAAAACAAGATTTCATAACTATGGTTAAAATTTATTTGAGTAATATGAAAATTCATAATTTTCTTTTACATCTAGTAAAATATTTTATTTGCACAAAACAATACATTCAAACACTTTTTGCTTCCTTCTCACCTATTTCATCTTTCCTCATGTCTTTCAGCTTATCCACAGTAAGGTTTTTTTCTTCTAATCTTGTTAGAATGTGTGGTGGTAAGACTGAAAATTGTCTCAAAGGGCTAGCCCAACCCCAAAGCCTCTTGTCAATGACTTTGCTAAGATTCAGAAGCCTGTAGGTCATGGCAGGCCAACGTTTCCTCAGAGCAATTTCAAAAAGAGCACGGACAATTCTAGCTGCATTCTGAAGAATAAAAGAGGGAGATTGGTGGTTAGATCCATTGTGCTCTTAATGGTGTCAATAAATTTATTATTCAAATTCAGTCTGAAAAGAAGTGAAAGTCGAGCTGCATCCTTGAATTGTGGGGCAATATATTTTCTCATATAACCCTAACTATCCTTATTATTTCTACATAAGAATAATCACATCCTTTATATATGAGTGCTACTTGCTTAACTCTCAGGGTTAACTTTCAGCCTTATTTCCAAGTTCTTAGAAACCCCATCCTTATTCCCTCTAAACAGGAATAAAGTAGAAAGAGACAAAAGACATGCAAAGCATTTAGAAGGCTGTTGAGGTGTCTAGAATATAACACACAGATAAAGATGCCTCTGGTTATACCCATCCTTATTCCCTCTAAACAGGAATAAAGTAGAAAGAGACAAAAGACATGCAAATCATTTAGAAGGCTGTTGAGGTGTCTAGAATATAACACACAGATAAAGATGCCTCTGGTTATATAGTGGAATGATTAAATTTGCAAGGCTATTTAGAGGAGAACTGAAAAAGACTTCGGGATCTTGTCAGGGAGAAAATTAGTGAGGGAAGGGTGATAAAGAAAATATCAATGAGTGCAACTACTCATATTAATGGGCCATATTAATGGCTCCCTATAAACCAAGCAATGTATTAACTTGCTTCATGTATATTAACTCATCTAATCTTTATAACAATTGCATTTGATTGGTATTGATATTATGATTTTATAGATAAAGATACTAGAGCTTGGAGAGGTAAAAAATTTAACCAAAGTCACACAGCTAGTTGGTGTCAGAGAATCTGTGCAAAATCAGGTCTAAATGACTCCAAATCTAATTTTACAATTCTAAACTCTGTGGTCTGAGGATGACTTCGTTAACAGACATATAGAAAGTTACAATGAATAAAGCCTTTTTTCACATTTCTACAGCTAGTTCCCACTTGTTTTGCCTCCTTCCATCTATCATTAACTTTGCAGATTGTTTTATTGAAGATTGTTTTTAAAATCATGAACTTAGAGACATCTGGTTTTAAAATCACAAACTTAGAGACACCTTCCAATGTCTAATGACATCTGTATTTGAAAATGAATAATGTTAAATCTGGTCAACATCATAAAAAGAGGAAGAAACAGTAAGGATTTTGAATGGTAAACAGATGATCCAGCCTAAAAATTATGGAGTCAAAAATGACCAGAAGAGTTAAGGGTTTAGGTTTTACATTTTATATAAAATATGCATTCGTCTGTTGATAAAATTTGACTTTTATTTCAGTATTAGAAACTTACGAAGAAATATGATATTTAGAAGTCTGTGAACATTCTGATACCCATTAAGAGTGAAAAAAATGGGTTTTGAGATCCAGTGAATCATGAATAAAATGAAGATTTTGATTATTATATCTATTAAATAATTTTCCTACATTATTCTCACTTGTTCTTGTAAAATACTGTCAGACTAATTTTCCTGTCTTTGAAAGTTTGTTATTTTTCATATTTCAGAACCTGTCCCTAAGCTAAAAGAAATAGAAGGAGAAATGCCATATGACAAGCTACAAACAGGACATTTTAATGTGATATAAATTGGGTGGGAATAATGATCAAAGTCTACAACATGTACAGCTAAACATAGCCTTTTAAAAAAATAAAATCATAGAATATGTGAGCCAAGTGTTTACCTTAGGGGCTGAGAGAAGAAAATTTAAGAGATATAGAGGGAAATACCATTTTGCAGAGCTGGAGGAGTGTTTGTGGAATTACTGATGGCTAAACTGAAAATATAATAAAAAGTATATTTTATCTAATGCATTCAAGGATGATAAATCCGTAACGGCTATTCAAGAAAAACCACGGAAGCTTTGAGATATGTCTTTAATCTGAGGTTGACTTCCTGGGCCCCAATCATGAAGGGAAGTATTTTATCTAATGCATTCAAGGATGATAAATCCGTAACGGCTATTCAAGAAAAACTATGGAAGCTTTGAGATATGTCTTTAATCTGAGGTTGACTTCCTGGGCCCCAATCATGAAGGGAATGTAAGTTTTATACTGTAAAGCAATTCTTATGTCAGTCTCTGATAACATCTTCATGATCTTGAATCGAGTAGAAATGTTACCAGTTTATTATTCATCCAGAACCTGGTAAAGCTTTCCCTTTTATTTAAATTATTAACTATTTCAACATAAACCATAAGGAAATATGAAATGACAATATTACATTACTTTTCAAAAAACAGATAAACTTAGAAACAATAATTCTTATAGAAGCTATAAAGTTTAGACAATATAATAATGTTTTCACTACACCTACAGATTTACTTTATATAATATATGAAATCACCACCTGTTCTCTTGGTTACACTGATTAAATTACTACAGTCATTCAAATTGTTTACCAATATATTGTTCATGTTTGTAAATATTTCATGTTTATAGCTATTTCAAAGCACGCCTGAGTATTCATGGCTGGTAATAGTAATTATTTAACACAAGCATACTTTTTCTGTATTGTTTGAAAAAAATTATAAATATAAGATAACAGCAGAGTAGTTTCCATATTTCAAGTAAGACTAAGCTTTATTTTCTTCTTAATTTAAAGGTGGCATTACTCACTGAAAAATAATGATAAATGTATTCTTAATAGGTAAAAAAAAATTTTTTCAAGATGTCGGGATGGAAAACTTTTCTTTTAAAGATAAATAGGGCAAAAAATAAACTACTTCACTGGAGGGTTTAAACACAAAAACATAAATATTTGAACATTTTATATCACAGTATTTTTTCAAAGTTATAAGTTAAATGAGCTATAGATTAAAGAATAATTTTTGCTCAGTCCTCAATTTTTAAGTATCAACATTAGAAAAGAAGGATTACTTTTTTATCAGAGACTTATCATACTTAATAGATTGTATGAAATATATTTATTAAGCTTATTTAATGTTAAAAAATTTGTTATTATTTCTCATATTTGGTGAAAACTACAAAAGTTCCACAGTCTTTTCTTTATGCTTGAAATATTCTCCTGTCACTGCCCCTTGTAAGTAAAAAAAAAAAAAAAAATTATTATTTAAAGCAGAAAAAAATCAGATATTGGTATTTTAAAACTCTATAATGAAAACAAAAGCAGCATCAAAAAAGTAAAAATAAAAGACAATTACTTATATCAACTAACAAATATATAAATAAATAGCCTCAGCATTCAGACCTAACCCAGAGAAATAAAGTTTTCTAGTTCTATGTGAGCTTAGTGAAGTAACTTTGCATCAAGTTGAAAAAATTCACTTTATTTTGAAAAGTTCCACCTCAATATATAAGCCACCTTTCCTTCCCAATTTCACAGTCATAATAATAAAAATAAAGTGATGATGGTGATAGGCAGCTACCACTTATGAGCAAGGTTAAGCTGCTATCTATTCTTGCAATGTCCTCCTTTATCAGAAAACTTCCTGTTCATCCAGCATACAGATATGGTGTGCTCAAGTGCTACAATCTGCAAGAAGCCAGTGCAAGATGCTGATGGCTTCTCTGAATTACTATGACTGATTTTCAAGCAGAGATTATATAGAAGATATACAAATTAACAGAGCCAGTTCTGATAAAATGGTAGTTTGGTAGCATGCCACAAAGCAATGCATTCACAGTACAGCATGAATTAATTCCTGGGTGTCTAAAGATAGACAAGGAAGAGATGAAAAGGAAGCAAGATTCTTACCTGTGCAACGTATGCAGAATCTGATATGAGGGAGAAACTGTCCATCTCTCCGCGGCTGATATAAGTTTGAAGTAAGATGTTTATTTTCCCATAACTATTCTCTACACCTCCAGGAGCGGAGAGTTCACAGAAATTGTTTAATAGAGCATCTAACTCCTCTATTTCCTCTTCTCTAACCTAGAAAAAATCAATGTTTTTGTAGGAATAATTGGGTTGATTTATTGAAACTTTTAGAATTAAAAGTAAATTGCATTACTTGTTTTTTAAAGTTTCCATTTACTATAACTCAATATTTTCCTTTTTTATAGATAAATTAATAGTTATATTAATTTTTCCACAGGTATAGTTAATAAAATATAATATAAAACTATATTGAGACTGATACAATTACATTTTATTATTCATCACCAATATTAAAGTTGCCATTGACATATAAAAATTTGATATGCCACAAAAATGAGATCTTCTGACCTCACTATCCTTCAATTGATGAGATTTCATTTTTTATTTGACCAGAGTAAAACCTCTGCCCAACTGGATTAGGGCAAACTTGAATTATCTTCAAATGCATTCATTATAGTCATATATTTTCATATGGTATAACACATTCACAGCTTAAAGCTGTGAAGTACTATGATTCAAAGTATTAAAGTTTTCACTATTAATAAGATTAAATTGTAATACTGGCACAGAAATATTCATTTCTAAGTTTGAAATCACGCATGTCCTTTATATTTTCCTCAGTGAATCTTATATGTAAATAACCCCAAATCTACATACCACATTCTCTGACAGTTATACTACTGTCAAACTTACTTATTTGATTTGAGGTACAGTGCAAAGAATGGTGTCAGCTGTGACATAATACTATAATCTACGAGAGTGAATATTGTTGATAAATGGAAGAACAGTGTTGATACTCCAAATGTAAAATGCCATATACAGTTTAACAGAAATAACAATTAATTGTACGTTTTTATAAATGAATGAATGCATATATGTTGTACACATCTGATTCAAACTTCAAGTCATCTTACCTTGATTTGATCAAATTCTTCAGCTTTGGAGACTATAGCAAAGATATCACCTTCTGTTTTGTGAGCATCAAAGAGTTCGTTAAAGGTCTACCAAAGTAAGTGTTATATTTGATTAAAATCAAAAGTCCAATAAAATATTTAAAATTAAAATTGTGACTATAAATCACATACGCTTACAGAATATATGAGCCCTAGACAATGCAGAGTATTCTAAATTATTGCTTTAAAAGTATTATTTAAATTTATCAAAGACTGAAAAACATTCCTAAAACATGATTATCTAAGAAAGACCTTTAGAAGCAAAAAGATCACTAAAAACAGTTAATGAGAACTATATTAGATATCTAAAAAAATGTTCATCATAGCATTCTGATCTTTGCTCATTTTTAGCATAGGCATATAGAAATCTGCACCATTCACTAGCTCTAAACTGACTGTATTTAATATAAAATTCACAGAGGAGTAACTAGAAAACATGTAATTTGAAGATTCTCACAATAATACTAGTGAGGACATAAAGAAAATCAGGAAACTGTGATTAAAAAAAAATCAGTCAAAGGCCTATGGAATAAATACAAAGCTAAAAAAGGGCTAGAGCTCCTGAAAAAGAACTGCAAACAGGTTATGATGTAGTTTGGCAGCAACGCACTAGCAAGTGGAGGAATGAAAAGGTTACTTAGTTGACAAAATGAGTGAACGTGACTAGATGATGGAAGGAGTGAAAAGCCAGGGAAAACGTGTTGGGCAGAGGAACCACCAGATCACAGTTGAGAGATAATGTATGTGAAAAGGTTTTGAAGGAACATAAAGTGCTATACAAATACAACGTTTATTTGAGAAAAGATGGGGAAAATCTAGTAAACACTGACTGTGTTTTCTGAAACCTGTTATATGCATAAGAAAATGTTAAATGAGTGCAAAACCCAGATTTCATATAGGCAGAGGTTTTTATATTTCTAAAGAAATCTCGTTTGAATTATTTCTATTACTATTCCCATTTTAAAAACAATTTTAAGTACAAAATAAAAATGAATATAAGAAAAAAAATTTAAACTTTCTCTCTAGAAATAGAATAAAAGGGTAAAAATTCACCTTAACCCATTTCCCTCTCTTTAAATTTAAGTTTTCTCTTCACAGGTAATCACTAAGTTTTCCCATGTATTGACATATGTATATAAACACACACGAAGAGAGGCATATACTTGTACAAATGTAAATATTAAAGTGGCACCCCATCTTACACAGGACTATGTTAAAAGGTAACAAGCAAGGCTACAATTGGATTGTCAAAATTATCCTTGAAAATCCCTTAAGTTGCCCATATAGTACAGCTAGGTGGACATGATAATTTTATTAGTTTTTAAAACTCTTCTTTAGTCAGTGTTTCTCAATAACTTGCAATTAATTTTTCAACTTTTTATTCAAAGATATCATTAAGCCATCAACTCCCACTTAAAATCATTCAGGCATTCATTCCATAGGTCTCACCAATATGCTTTGACTATTGGAAGCATGGGTGTGCCTACTACGTGGGATATGCTCAGTGAACAGAATGGCAAAAGGGTCCTTACTATTTAAAGACTTCTTTCTTTTCTGTCTTTACTGAGGGCTTATTGTCAAATTCGTATAAATTAAATGCTTTTTGCTTTATTAATTGTTTTGTGTTATTTTTCATTAATAATATAATATGTATTTTTATAATATTAATATAAAATATTAATATATTTAATATATTATTGCATAATATATATATTTTGGTGGCTGGCCAGTATGGAGATATGAACCCTTGACGTTGGTGTTATAACACCACACTCTAACCTAGTGAGCTAACCAGCTAGCCCTAATCATATATTTTGAAGTCTAGAAAGTATTTGCATTTAAAAAACAAACATTATTGCATTTATTTCTCTCAGTATAATACCTCAATGGTGGTGTATTTAATATAGTAGTGGCTGGCAGTTCTACCCAAATCAGTAGAGGAAAAATACCCAGTTCGCTCTTCAAAACGAATCATCCGCGCTTTGTCTAGTTTTCGTCCAACTTCGATGACCAACTGTTCTCGATGCTTTCTTAATGTTGGATCAATCTACAGGAAAAAAATATAAACACTTGATTAGTTCTTTAGAGAGTCATGACTTGCAAACATATGCCTATTTATGGAAATTACTATTTTTTTTTGTTTTAGACTTTTTAACTATAATTTTTAAAGTATATCTTTGTACATTTAGAAAATAACTAGAAAATACTTTATTTCATTAAGTAAAGGAAGCTTTAAAAATTCATTGAAATTATCAATCTGCATATTCTCTTTGGACACCCTTATATTTTTAGAATCTAAAATTCTTAGATGTCTTATAATCTTTAAGATTATAAAGAATGCAAATCAAATATAAGAAAAAAACTAATTTTCTTTTACCTTCTACACTAACATAAACAGGGATTTTAAAATATCAAACGGCTTTCCTACTTTATCAATTATTTGGAGAAAAAAATAGCAAAAAAGCTTTCCTATGTCAAAGTAAAGAAATACAAAAGTAAGTTCAAAGTTATCCTTTCAAAAGTATAGTTCTACTGTTCTAGCTGTTCTGATAACTGCTAATGGGAAAACCCATTTTGCCAATAATAATAATAGAAGCAAAGATTAAAATGAAGTTGACAATGAATTCTTTTACAGTTTTGAAACTATTTCTTATATTACAGTCTTCTTCTAAGCAGAAGTGATATTTAACACAAGAGATTAACAAATATTCTTGCTACAATGACCTGTCTTTGTGAAAGTACCTGTATGTACACACACATGCACAACCATACATGTATACATGCCAAGTCCTAAAGATCACTCTCTGGTCATGAGCAATAAAATGAAATACAACTTTTAATGGGGGGTAAGGGTAGTATAAAAATACTTTAGAAATCAATTAATGAGTTAATATCCCTATGATTTGTTCTAACTTAGATCTTTATGGCAGATTATTTATGCACAAAAGACAGCTAAAATAAATTTTAAAAATCAGAAAAATGAAGTAAAGGGAAATCAACTGCAGGGAAGTAAGATGGAGTTTAGAGTCATATAAGCAAATATTAAATATCCGGTACAAGGAATATACTCTATGTATGAGGCTCATTTTGTAAAAACACTTTATTAATCACATATTAATAAGCCATTAAAATATGTTAAATTACTTGATCTGTGTTGGTTCATAAGATTTTTGTGGCTACAAATGTGAAAAGGTTTTGAAGGAACATAAAGTGCTATACAAATACAACGTTTATTTGAGAAAAGATGGGGAAAATCTCTGAAACTTGAAAATAGAAAACTATGTATACTCGAAGAAAAAACAATTTACTTTCTTTATACCAAAAATTTACACAAAAATGACTTCTGATATGAACCTAGTACTTAAAAATCAACTGATGTGCTTATTTTGTCACAAGATCTGAGATGACTCAGCCCATGAAAATTTATGTTGTGTTTCATTTACCCCTTCTGAATATTTTCATAGTGCCATCAACTATTTTCACAATGCCCATATTTGTAATGAGGATAGCTAGCACCATATTCTTTAAAATATGTAAGGTTACAGGTAACAATGCACCTGTATTTTATAAGATAACAATTTGGCTGTAAAACAAAACATACATTTGAAGATTAGCACGTTTCACCTTAGAAGAGTAATGGTAGTTGAACTCCATTTAGAGTAAACCCAAGTATGAAAACCTAATCATTCCAGATTAATGGCTTCAGAACTACTTACTGCTGCTGCTTTTCTTAATTTTTTTTTTCCACCCTAAGCCTTAAGTTTCAATTTTCCCATGGTAAAATCTACCGCATAGGAAAAGTAAAAATGAAAGAAAAAAATAAATTTGAGTCAAATTGAACTTCTTCACTAATTCTGACTTAACACTTTACTAATTTTGACTTAACACTAGTGAATATCCATATGAAAACAGGAAAATAACATTTTCATTAGACAACAACTGGATTTTATCTGTTATTAGGAAGCATTTATAGTATATAAAGCAGAGTTCTAAAGACAAAACAAACCTCACAGAATCTGTAAGCCACATGGACCAGACAACTGTAGAATTCATGGGAAGAGCTACTAACGTATGCATCTAATTCTCAGTTGATGCATACACACTGCATCATGAAACTGATCCCAGCCTCCAAACTGTTAATAATTCATTAATGTTACCTTTTAATTTTATAATAGGATTTAGAAAAGACTTGATAAAAGGAACAGATTGTATATAGCATAAGCCTATTATCCAAAATGGTCTATAAGTTTCCTCATGTTTGGTTTATTCCAAAAACTAAATTTATCATAGTAAAAAAAAATCATACCAAAATATTATTATCAAATGGAAATATACCTGAATAATAAATAAATATAATGTAAAGATTAACTTATTAGTATCAGTGGGAAAAGAGATTTAAATAAAGCAAAATAATTACAGAGGGACAATCTAATTTTTCTTAGTATTTCCTAGAAAAGATTAAAGCTCTTTGTTTTTCTTCCAGGTACTTAACTCTTTTCAGATGAGGCAAGAGTAGCAAATATTTATCCTCATATCATGAAAGAATTATAGAACCAAAAAGAAGGCTTTAATTTTTTTATATAAATGAGTTTTCTACCTGATAAGCCTTATGACTGATGCCATATACTAATGGATTTGCTCTCATCCGTACATAAAGATAAGTGTAACTTATCCACTTCACTGCTTCTTCCACGTTAGTAACTGTTCCCAGAGCAATCTGCAAATCAAAAACACAACAAAAATTTAAGTAATGCATTTAAGTTAAACATTACATCAAATCAAAGACCCTTTTGGCAGAAGTTAAGTTTTTAAAATACATCATTATGCTGTGTTTAACAGAAGGTAAGCACAATTACTGGACATGACACTTCTCCAATTAATTAAAAATCAGTCCTGCCTCATTTAATTTTAGAATACTACATTAGAACTGCTATCTCCCAAAACTGAATTTATTCAATATTATGGCATTTGATTATTCTTTCTTAAATGAAGTTTAATTCTACCTAGCATTAAGGACATTTTTGGCATTCATTAATTTTTCTCTTATTCGGTATCCATTTTGTTTTAGTTTCATTTTATGTGACAATACTGAAACATAACTGAATACAAACACTACTGAAAAATTTAAATGTTATTGTACTGGAATATGAACAATGAAATATTGCTAGTTCTATCCCTCTTTATCCTAATTCTGCGTACTGTTATCACCAAAACCACAGAGGGCATAACATTAGCTTTTACCTCTCAAGATACCCATTTGCAGGATTGCTAGTACAAAAATACAATTGAATACAAAGAAAATGCAATTGTTTCTGCACAAAAAGTATATTTTATTGGGATTCATACATAATAACACATACACATTTAAAAAAAATCATAAGACAAGAACAGGGAGTGGTTTTTATTTTTTACTTGTAAACTTAAAACAACCTATAGAAGAAAATTAGATATTTATACATTTAAACCATAATAAACACTGGATGATTCTTTAGACAATATTTTGAAAGAAATATAATTTCTAATATAGCATTTTAATGTAGCTTTCTAATATATTAATTCAATGAAACCACAGATTAATAATTTAAAAACAGAACAACAGCATTTAAGATCTGTATAAAAAAGAGAAAGGAATTGTTAAACAATAATAGCACAGAATTTCAACAAAAAGTTTTCTTAAAAGTATTATTTCCTTAGCTAATGGATCTATAGGTAGTAATTTTGCTATTACCTAATGTGCTCACTTTACTTTAAAAATTGTGAAACTTCATAGTTGTATATTTTTTCCTGAACCCTTACCTGAAAACAATTTTTTACCTACTAATACTTTAAACAAAGAAGAGATGCTCCCTACCTAAATTATTAAGTTTTAGGAGGGGGAAAAAAAAAAAAAAGGGAAACCAACTCTCTCATTTCAGTATTCATGAAAATAAAAACATTCATGTTTGCTTTAATTCCTGTATCATAATTTTAATTTCCTATAACTAATTCTGTGAAATAAATATGTAAATATTTAGCTGTCTTTGGTGAAGATGAGATATAGCAATATATAATTTTCTTTATAATAATATATTATCCTGTTTGTTGTTAAAGAAAAATGACCGAAAGTGAAAGAAAATGTGATGGGAGATTCTGTTGACTTACTTTTGCATTTATGCTAACTTATTTACAAATGAATAAGCCATCTACAATACAGGTAAATATATATATTTCATAAAATGTAAACTGTAAGGCTTTCCACAAAATAAACAGCCAGAACTAAAATTGAGTCAATGAGGGAGTTGTGTAACAATTCCTAAAGATTTACAAGTAAAAGACAATTAAACATTTTCTCATCTGCTTATGTAGATGAAACTACTGCACTGTGATGATATGGTTAAAAATCTGAAAGTCTCTTCAATTTGTGACATTATTTGACAGTCAAAATTGTATTAAATCATATGCCATATCACCTACATTCCCTTGTGATCTTATGATATTTTAAAATAATAACCTATGTTCCTTTATGACCTTATGATACTATTTTAAAATAATATCAAACAACTCCTAAGAGTAGAACATTTTATAAAGGATTAAATAAGCTTGCTATTATTTTCTAACTTGGTCTTAGTAAATTAACATTAATAATTACCTACTGGTACCAGTGATAGATTAAAGGAAAGAAGGAAGTATAAATATCAGACCAAGCAACACAAGTCTTGTAACTACTCACTAAAAAGAAAGACTGCTCAGAAAAATAAATGTCAATTGATGAAGGATGACACACCTTATTTTGAGGCTAATCCTTGAATGCCACCTAGTGACAAAAATAAAAATTTACATGCAAATATTCTCTGTCACCTAGTGTCTACTTAGTACAGGAGGCTTTTACAAAAGAAGTATTTTTTTCATGGTTTCTCTTTGAAATGTATTCACCCGTTTCAATAATCATATAGTAAGTCAGTTATAAGCCTGTACTATGTAAAGCACAATGGATGTGGTAACAAACGGCATGATCCCTGCCTCAAGAAGTTCACACACTCACTCACTCATTCACACACACACACACACACACACACACACACACACACACACACACACACACACACCTCACTCACTCATTCACACACACACACACACACACACACACACCAAATTATCATGTTTAGCTCAATTTAAGCAATCACATTTTATATAATTAAATTAATCAAATGACCTAACAAAGATTAAAGAGCTTTATAATCCTCATAAAAACTTTTATTTAAAAACTTCATAAAACTTTATAAAACTCCAATACAAATATTAGTTGTTGTCATTGCTATTTGTTTCCCTAGTTTGTAGTTTTAGTAAGATTTTTGCTACTTCACAGTTTAAAAATAGGTCTTTTAGCACTGAGCTCTTTCTTATCAGTTATCATCTGCATTCTATATTGCTCTGAATTAATGAACAATATTGTCATTCAGTCTATTTTGTTTTATGACTATATGGCATAAGATGTATTCTAAATACTACAAAATAGTAACCAACTCAATCTTTATTTTACTTAGAGGTTAGTCATTCTTAAAGTTGATGATTCTATTCCAACCTATTACTCATTAGATCTTACCTCTGCATTTAGGTTATCTGCAAGGCTTTCCAGAAACTGACTCTCAATTGGGTTTTGTTGAGTGAGCAAAGTGAGGTAATGGCTGAGTTTATCATGTGTTGTTATAATGATTCCTTCCCCAAATTTGTCAAATTGTGGTCGTCCAGCACGGCCAAATATCTGCATGACATCTAAAATTCCAAGGTCAACAAAAGAGCCTCTTTTTGCAGCATATATTTGTGTTCCCTAGATGAAGAAAAGTTAATAAAAATTTACATAAACACACACAAATATAATCCTGATGAGCTGAAAAATGAAATTAGGCAAATATGGCAAGATCTCAAAAGTGTACTTTAACTAATCCTTTCATCATCTGTGATAGAGTTAAATTTTCACAGTATGAACTAGATCCTTATTGGAGAAAATAATTCTGACCTTATATAAATAACATTCAAAGTCAAAGAAATAGCCAAATCACAATATTTTCTAAATAAATCAATTTAGAGATTTGTTTTAAGACACACACAAATCCATGTACAAAAAAAGGTAAGTTCTTACCTTAATAATAACAGCATGAGCAGGAAGATTGACACCCCATGCTAATGTAGCTGTACAGACCAGGACTTTGATATGCCCATTAGAAAACAAGTTTTCAACCAAATTTCTGTCCTGCCGAAGCATTCCTGCATGATGAATGCTAAAACCATCTGGGAATAATTCTCGTACTTGCTTATTTCTTGACTTTTGCACCTAGAGTAGATGTCAACAAAACATAAAAGAATATTACTTAGCATTTGAAAGCCATTGTTATTTAGGATTTCTGTTGAATGAGTTTATCAAAGAAAGCATTCACTTATTTTTTAGCCTCTTAAGGTCTAACTAAGTCTTACATAAAATCATTAAAAAATTACATGCCATCTATCTTAAAAAACAGGTAATTCACAAACATGACACAAAATTCAAAAGGAATGAAGTGAAAAGAAAGTGTCCCTTCATCCAGTTGTCCCTTATTGAAGTCAATACCACCTATTTTATCCTCCCCAAAATACTCTACTAAAAATAAGCATAAATCTCAGTGGCTTCCAACTCCTTAAAAATGTAAAGGTCAGAGTCCTAACAATGCAAGACCTTAGAAAAACAATCCCACCCCCTAACCTCACTTACCCACACCAGCCACAATGACTGGCTTTTTCTCTGAGTCTCTTTTTTAAAAAAAATCCACACCCACTTCAGGGTCTTTATACATTATATTACAGACTCACTGCCTAGAACCCCCCCCCCCTTTACTGAGATACCCCATGGTGCCCCCATGGTCTTCCTCATTGCAGAGTCAGTAAACCAAACTTTGTTCACCTACAGCTGTGCTCCTGATTATCTTTGATGGGAAGGTATTGACCACCCACCGTGGTTCCTCAACTTTAAAATTGCCCCAAGTATATTAACTTCACTCCTGGAGTTTGTTCTTTGGCCTTGTCTGAGCTCATATGTGTGGGATGTGGTATATTTATCTGCATATATGCTATGGTAGAAAATCTTCCAAGGTTCTCTGAAGACTCACTATACAATAGAGAAAATTTTTCTGCAAAATTAAATACATAAACATTTAAAAAAGTGTTTATATAGTTAAATTTCTGTTTGGGCACTACATCATGTTTTTATTCTCTATTGCCTGAAAATCTCATCATCAAGAATTGAACAGTTTCTTTTTTTAAAGTTTTTTCCATATTTTTTAAGGGGCACTATACTTGCAGGCAATGAGATTTTAAGGGACTGGGATTCTAGTCCAGACTTTGCCACATTGATTACTTCTCATGTCACTTAAAATTTTTAAATTCTAAGTTAATAACAATTAACTAAGAAAATTATCTAAGGAAATAGCACTCAATGAAATCTGCTTCAATTATAAAACCAAGGTAGTATGTTAACAAACCCCACCATCTAGTGGCCAGTCAAGTAAATAACATCTTACACATTTTGAGCCGTTTATAGAGTCCAAAACAAAATATGCATGTACTTGAAAAAAAAGACTATCTTCTTCAAGTTTCAAGGGGAGTATATTCTTACTTTATTTTTGTACAGTGTGGTTAGCCTGCTGGAAATCATCTTATACATACACTTTATGACTAACTACACTGGATCACATTACCTCAGCTTTCATCTTTTCAGACAAAAGATATTGTTATTGTCAATCTTCTTGAAGCAGCTCTTAAGAACACAGGACAACTCTGGGATAAAGTCTGCTGTGAGGTTTTTGCTAAGATATAACAGAGATCCTTCAAAGGCCAATGGTAGGGAGAGGAGAAACATTTCACTTACTCCATTTCTTCTCTAATATTCAAGCGTGGATACTAAGAGCTAACAGAGGAAACTAAAGTGCTGCTTGGAGGAGGTAAAGCGTACAAATCATATTGCCGGATTGCTGTTTGTTTCAGGTGAAGTTTTATGTCTGTAGACCTCCTGCATGGGAATATCCTGGTGTACTTGTTAAAAATGTGGATTCCTTAGTCAAACCTCAGTTGAGGTAGGACTTGGCTAGGCCTGCTGTGGCACCAATGACAGAGTGAGAAGTTGAACAGAAGAAGTATGTAACTGTGGTGAAGAATTTTCTTACAAGGTAGCTAGTAAGAAAGCAGTATCTTGGAGTGCTGACATAGCACCTCCTACTCTGATCATGTGGGTTCCACACTCAACTAGCTGCAGTGGCCACCAGCTGAGTACATCCTTCTGGTCTCTGTGAGGAACTCGGTCTTTTATTTCTATTCTTGCATATTCTGTGCATTGTTTTTCTATTGGCTCAGTACTGATCTGAAGTGACAACAATCTTAAAATGAGTCTGGGCTATTTATTCTTAATTATCTTTGAATCTGAATTTTCCATTTGTGATCTTGCCTAGCTCACGTACAAAAAAGGTATGTGCACTTTTTAAAAGGCAAAGATTTATACGATCTGAAGAGAAACCAGAGTATATGTGCAGCACTTTTTAAAATCTTATTTTAAAAATTATCATATAGTAAAACTGACTATTTTTCCACTTTTGGTCTACACTTCTATGAATTTTAATACAGACTGATCTGTACAACCACCACAATAATCAGGAAGAAATTCTCTCGTGCTATTTCTTTAGTTAAACCCTTCCTACCTATAACGCTTGGCAACCAGTGATCTGTACTTCATCTCTATAGTTTTGCCACTTCAAGAATGTTATATAAATTGAATCAGACAATTTTGGGACTAATTTCTTTTACCCAGCTTCATGCTTTTGAGGTTCATCCAAGTTGTGCATATCAATAGTCCATTCCTTTTTATTGCTGAGTAGTATTCTATAGTATGGATGGGCAAATCTTCCACTGAAGGACATTTGGGTTGTTTCCAGTTTGGACAATTATGAATAAAGGTTTTATGAATATTCATGTAACATATTTTTTTGTGTGTGTATGTGAATGTTTGCATTTCTCTAAAGTAGATACCAGGAATAGAACTGCTGGGTCATCAGCTTTATGAAAACTGTCAAACCATTTCCACAGTGGCTGTAACATTTTTCATTTGCATCAGCAATGTATGAGAGTTACAGTTATTTCTCATGCTTGTCAGCACTTGATATTGTCATTATTTTTTATTTTAGCCATTGCAACAGGCATGTGGTGGTATCTCACCATGGTTTTAATCTACATTTCCCTCATAGTTAATGATATTAAACACCTTTCCAAGTTCTTAGATGTGTATATTTAATCAGCTCCCCAAGTTATTCTGATGCACACAAAAATTTAAGGACCAAAGTTCCTCATAGAAAGATACTTGAAGTGATATTTTTATCCATCTGTATACAATACAGCTGTATAATTTGACCTATGAGACTATTTAGTGCTAAGCAAACTCATATTCATTATTGCACTAAATTATTTATATTCGTAAGAAAAGTACTTCCTAAAAAATTTATGAAACATGATAGTGACTAACAAAAAAAATGCATTGTAAAGAATCAATGAGTAGGTCATTTAAATAAGAAACACATAGTCATCATATGCCAAATCCTAAGAATATAAAGAAATTTAAAACAAAATATGAGGTTTGTATAATTTGCAGACTTGTAAGGAACACAGACTCATATACAAATAACTTCTATAAAATAGGATGTGTTTATAATGAAGCATGTGGACAAAGCTAACATTTTGTCATTTATGGAATTTACGGTATTGTCATTTACGAAAATGATATTATAGTTCACTTGTATTTGTACTGCTAACACTTGGCAGGGTGTCTTCTGCATACCTAGTGCTTACTACACATTTCCTGAATGAATGAATGAATGATCTGCTACTTTGATCATGGAAGCACGGAAGCTGGAACGAGTGAAAGAGCACTGTGTGTCTGGAGGGCATTATGTTCAGAGGGTGTGGGTGAATGCAAGAAAATTAAGCTGGGAAAGAGGACTGTGGTCGGGCTTTATACTTTCTCAAGCACAGGTGGAAAAGGAGCCAATTACAGTTTTTAAGCAGTATCAGATTTGTTGTATAAAGAGGTAAACAGTTGTGCTAAGATCAGAGAATGGATAAGCAGGTTTAGGGCCACTACAACAATCCAAGTGAGAAGATGCAGGCAGAGAAAACAGATGTCACAAAGTCAAGGTGAAATCTGGCTGTAATGTAACCAAGACTGGGTGACTACCTAGAAGGAGGGGTGAGCAGGACATGAAGGAAAAGAAGGGACTGGACTATGTGTAAAACATATGAATAAAATAGTAAGTCTGAAACTAACACACATGCAACTCTCTCTCTCTCTCTCTACACACACACACACACACACACACACACACGGTACTTTAGAAAGTTCTTGGAAAAACAGAATTAAAAGATAATACAAATCTTTCCTCTAACTTTTTGAAGTAGCCTCAAATATATCTCTTGTCTTTCTTAAACAACAAAGGAGAAATTTAAAAAGAAAGAAGGAATGAAAAAGAAAGAACAAGAACTGTGGTTACTAGGCTTGGGAAAGCGAAAGGGTAAGGGGCTGTCAGTGAGAAATTGGTTAATGGACACAGAATGATTACGATTTATAATGATGAGCATGATAATTATCCTGATTTGATCACCACATATTGTACACAAGGTTTTTAAAAAATTTATTATTATTATCATTTTTACATCTAAGATATTGTGGAGCAGTGTACACAAGTATTCACAGTCAACTCTGTTCCCCACAAACATGTATAATCAATTATGTTTCAATAAAAAAAATTAACGGAAAAACCACATATCATATTTATAAGACAGAGTAAAGGTGTGCTCTCAGAAAACATCATACCTGAAATACCTGTATAACTAACGAAGAATATATTTAAAATTAGAAACAAATTAAACAAAAATAGTCAATGGCTATTACTGGCGAGAGCAGGGGCTGGCAAACTATGTGCCAACTGCTTGTTTTTGCATACAAAGTTTTATTGGAACACAGCCATATCAATTCGTTACATATTGCCTATGACTGCTTTTGAGTTGAAGAGCTGAATGAATAGCTGTGACAGAGATCATATGTCCTTAAGCTTAAATGTTTATTATCTGGACTTTAAGTAAAAGGAGGTGTACAGCTGTACACATGCACATCAGCACAAGCACAAGACTCAAAATTAGTAATGTGAAAAAGAAAATATCACAATTTAAAAAAATGTAAAAGGAATATACCACAGTTTAAAAGAATCTGAAAATTATAAAGTTCAATGCACATTCCACTTAAAGAACTGTTTAGGATGGATG